CTGTCTCCATCCCGCCTGGAGGTCTCCCCGGTGTGTGTTATCAAAAAGACGCCGGTTACCACATCAGGGCCCACCCTACCCCAGTACGACCTCGTCTTCACCTTGACATCCACACACACCCTATTTCCAAATCAGGTCACGTCCACAGGTACCAGGGCTTTGGATTTGAACCTATCTTTGCAGGAGACACAATCCAGTCCGGAATAAAGACTGAGCAGTGATGTGAGCCAGGAAGAGGGCAGAGCAGAGGCCTTCCCTCCACTGGGGATTGGGGGAGTCCAGGAGAGGGGGGCCACTGTGAAAGTGAGGAAACGGGGCGTCTGGGTCACAGATGTTGTCCTGCCCGGTAAAGGCAGCAGAAGGGGACTGGCCCACGTTGGAGGCAGACCTGAGTCCTCTGCCCCAGTGGGTTCAGCCTCTGGAGAGCAGTGTCAGAGAAAAGGTGGCAGAGTTTCGGGGCCATGTGACCTGAGGAGACAGACGTGTACCCAAGTGAAGCCACGGGGAGAGGAGTTTGAGTGCAGTTCGTGACCACAGGGGCCACTAGGACAGCAGGGAGCTTTCAGAGAGTCTGAACGTGGCATGTTCCAGAAAGGTGGCCGTGGGAAGTTAGCACCTCCCCGTGGACCTGCCTAGAATTGGGGCAAGGCGTGTACATGATGCAGGACCGGCGTTAGGAGATCTTCTGGATGCCAACAGCTGGAAGAACTGGGTTCAGTAGAAGGCAGGTGCGCTCCCTCCTCGCCTCTGGGTGACACGTAATCATGTGTGATGCTCCCCAGTTCTGCCTGTAACTCCGAATACCCTGTGTTCTTGTCACTTGCTGCCCATGGCTGGATGGCAGCCGAATAGAGTGATGCGGGGGGATGGGGAGCTCTATCGGGCACCCCTGCTGTTTGCAGTGTCCCCCTCGGGTCAGCTAAGTCCCGGGTGGGCTCTTTCCACCTCCTTTCACCCTGAGTCAGTCTCCCCATCAGACTGTGAGCCACTCGAGGGCAGAGACGTTTACACTTCTCTCCTGCTGCCGCGGGGACCTTGCTTATATAGGTCATTTAATAATGCTTTATAGGAAGAGTACCGGAGGAATAGAATAACGCAGACTAAGGTATATTTATAAATTTTTCTTAAATGTAGTAATTTGCCCATTTGACACACAACTGTGGAACTGTGCCCAGCATCCTTTCCTGCTTTAGTCTTCCCAGTAACGAGCAGCAGGCCTTCTCAGTGTCCTGGCACAGCCCGTGGGGCTGCGCAGCCTGTGTCCTGCTGCAGCGGCGTGGGGGCTCCTCCACCCGGGCCTCAGAGCTAGAAAGTTCGGGCAGGACGACCGCGCAACGCCCCTCCGTACCCATGGTTACTCTTCCTTCAGCTCCGGGGAGTCACAGGCGGCCCCCTGCCAGGACACATTCCACTGCAGGCCAGCGTTCCCGCCAAGGCCACTAGATGGCGCACAGGGCCCGCCAGCCCGTCACCCAGGGTGACGGATCCTTTCCCCGTCTCTCCGAGGGACAGCAGGGCCAGTGGACGGAGCCTGATGTGCTCCTGCCGTATACCTGTGATGACAACCCCCATGAACACCTGAGGTCACAGCTGGACGTGGGGAACAGCGCAAATCAACCCGTAACAGGGGCCAAGAATTAAATAAGGCTCCGAGACTCCACCTGCAGGGAGAACAGCTCTCCCTCAGTCACATGCGGGAAGCCCCGCCCAGGAGTCCCGCGGGACCGCGAAGACCAGGCCGCGCGCTGCCGGCGGCGAGGGCGCCCCCCACTTGTGCTCCTTACGTGCGTGCTTGTCTTTCAGAATCAGTTGTCCGGGAACCTGCTGAGGAAATTCAAAAACAGCAACGGGTGGCAGAAGCTGTGGGTGGTGTTCACGAACTTCTGCCTGTTCTTCTACAAGTCCCACCAGGTAAGTACCACATGGGACAGTGGGGACAGTACACCTGCCAGGGGCCGTCCTTCCTCTGGAAGGGCGAACAACGGGGCCCTTGAGCCACCCGCCCGGGCATGGAGGGAGGGACGCGGTGTGTGAGAAGGGGTCCCGCCCTGCACAGTGGCCCGGAGAGCCTCGGTTCTAACTGGGCTGACATCCGTCTGCAGCAATCCGGCCGAAGCCTGGTTGGTTGAGCGGGGGAGGGCTTCACTGAAGGTTCCTGCATGGCTTGGTCGGTTGGAGGCCCAACCCTGAACTGGGAGATCCTGACCGGAGCCAAAATCACGAGTTCGAGCCCTGCACTGGGCTCTGCCCTGACAGTACAGAGCCTGCTGGGGATTCTCTATCTGCCTCTCTTAAAATTAGTAAATTCTGGAGTACATGGGGGAAAAAAAAAAAAGCTTATGAAGGCGTGGGGTCCCACTAGCTGGCCTGCAAGGAAGGCAGCCACTGCTCAGGCCCAAGCACCTGCAGCCCCCTTCTGTTGCCTCTGTCCAGGACCATCACCCCCTGGCAAGCCTGCCTCTGCTCGGCTACTCACTCACCATTCCCTCCGAGTCCGAGGACATCCACAAAGACTACGTGTTCAAGCTGCATTTCAAGTCTCACGTGTACTACTTCAGGGCCGAAAGCGAGTACACGTTTGAAAGGTAATGACGCTTCCTTCCGCACAGGCGGCCGCAGGAAAAGGCCACCCTCTCGTGAGCCAGGTGGACGAGGTTTATAGCAGCAGCCACTCCCTGCCCGCCGCAGGCCTGGGCATTTACTCACTTCCAAAATGTCCCTGACCTTTGGGGGGGGCGGGGCGGGCCGTCCCCTTTGCCTAACATCATATCCACTTCTGTTTTCATAGAAGCAAGTAAAACTGAGACTTCCCTGGGTAGTGACATCAGTCCTTAGCCTGTACCGTGTCGGGGCCACACACGGTACACTTTTAAATCTCTAGCGAGCGTGTTGTTTTAGTCTCTGGAGTATTGAGTCGGAATATGCCGGACTGTGCTAGGGCCAGAAGACCACTCGAGGAAAGAAGAAATCCTAATGTTTCTCAGGGTTACCTTCTTAATAAGACTAACACGTGGTGTAAGGAGGCCCAGGAGCCACAATCCTCAGACTTTTCCCAAAATTTCAGGTAGGAATTCTGGGCCCCCAGGAATGGCATCCTGCCACTTGGGCAGGCGGTGGGGTCCTCGGGCCATAGTCCAGGCAGAGTTAACAGTCACCTGCCCGCTTAGGGAGGACGGTCTTTCCTGGCCATGCTGATAGCACACGGCGTGTTCCTTCGTCCCCATGGGTTCCATGAGCCCACAGGTTACGACGTTAGTTCAGCGGCAGCCACACGGTGTTCAATGAAAACTCAAGTCAAAGCCTCCCCGTAAGGTATGCTGCTCGAAAAGTGAGCCCAGCGGAGAACTCTTCTCAAATCTGAGCCTGGCCCAGAGAACCTAGACTAGGGGGCTGATCCTAAAAAGACCAGTGATTAGAGACTTTTGAAAGCCCTGCTACCAGTTCCACGGAGGCAGGGCCTCCTCCCCTCAACACTGCCGACCCTGGAGTCCATTCGGCTGTCCGGAGGGGTGGGGGGGGTCCTGTCCCGTGCCTTAGAGGATGCCCAGCAGCATCCTGGCCCCTCCTACTAGAGGCCACTTGCACCCCCTCCTCCGTGACAACCCAAAACACCTCCAGACGCTGTCCACCCGGGTGGTTGACAGCCGCCAATACACCGCAACTACCCAAACGCATATAACGGGCTGCTCGTCACCGTCCAGGAGGGAGAACAGGAAGCCACCTCATCTCCAACCGCTTCACGTGGAGCGTGCTGCCGCGTCACCTGGGCACTTCCTGTGGTCTACAAAATGAGCGCCCAGGCCGGTGGTCCTCAAACCGTTCCTCAGGAGCACCTAGAGGAACCCTTAGCCTTGCTTCTGTTCACTTGGGTAGCAGGAGTTCATTCAGGAACTCTTCTGGAGTTGCACGTCACGTAAGTCACGACGCACGCTGAGTATCGGGACGCTCTTATGAGACCAAGTGACCCTTGACCGTCATTTCGCTTTCTGGTCTTAGGTGGATGGAGGTGATCCGCAGTGCGACCAGCTCGGCTTCCCGCGCCCACATCCTGAGTCACAAAGAATCCCATGCGTACTGATGGCAGGACCTGTTTGCTGGTGTGAGCGGTGGCTGCTTTCCCGGGAGACACTTACTTTCCCTCTGTATTAATGAAGCCTAGTAAAATTAACACCTGTCTGGAAAAGCGAAACATGGTTTCACAGCACCTCTCCTCTATCTCCGCAAAACCATTTTTAACCTTGTCTTTTCGAGCTGTTCGTGTCGTCTGAACGGAACCGTGCTCCCACCTCGGACGCTGGTGGCTCGTCCGTCCTTGTCCTGGTGGGCTCTTTCTAGCTTGTGCCAGTATTAAAACGTTGTCATTGATGTCGTGCCAAATGACGGTTTTTCTTCCACAAACTGCACCTTAAAAGCGGGATAACCACATCCGTTCAACCAAAAAAGACAGGGCAAGTGCTCTCCTTTTTCTTAAAAAAGAAAATTCTTTTGACTTACAGGCTGGTGCATTTTAAAAACAAATGGATTTTCCAATGTTTGTGATACATATGGCACAGTCTTAAGCAAAATGAGATCATTTTCCGATTTCGTTTTTTCAATCTTTCTACTTTTATAATAGTAGCAAGTTAGTAGGATTTACTTCGATTAATAAGCAATTTGCAGCACACGAAGTACGTTCCCCTTTGGGGTCTTATGCTCCAAGGAAACGCTGTTCTTGGCACAAGTTGACCAAATTGTTGAAGCGGTTCCTCTTTACAGACCGTAGCGGGTTGTGCTCTGTTCAGAGAAGCAGAAACCGAGCACGACGTCCGCGGTCTCGCTGTGGTGTGTCCGACCGAAGATGCTAAGCCGTGGTGTTTGCTGTTTCACAAGCATGAGAACCCGTATGTCCGTAATCAGGGCCATTTGTGAGATGTGACGTCCGGAGGGTGGGTGCGGCCCCCGTCATACCTGTATCCTGCAACTGTGGTTTGGAATTGCACATTCAATAGTAGTATATATTGTGTCTGTCTTCAGAAAACATTCTTTCCTCCTTTTTATACTCACTGCCCCCTCCCCCCCCCCCGCCCGCATGGGGTATCACCAGTAGGACACTGCGCATCCTCGACAGACCGCACAGGGGACACGGCTGGCGCCCACGAGGCAGAGTCCGTGTGCCTGGTCTCCATGGAGGACAGGGGGCTGCTATCCCCTAGTTAAACCCTTTCTGACACAGTCCAGAGGGGGCAACCGATCCAACCAGTATCTCCCAGTGCCCGCACCACAGCTGGGAAAGCCCCTTACCTAAGAAACACAGGACGACCCGATGCGGGGGAGCCGTGACTGGTGTGCGTGGCAACAGCGATGTGCAAATGGACCAGTAGCCCAAGACGTGTTAATCATTTGCCTTACGACATGTACCAGATGGTTTTAAGTACTAACAAAAGGGAATAAAAATACCTCACGCCACAATCCAGCATATTGAAGTTTTAAGGCAAAACATAACCAACCTCGTCCGGTCTTTCTTTTCGCCTAAGGTGGGCAGGTTGCGGGGAGGGAGCTGTCGAGGCGCGGACGTGGCCGGTCCCGCAGGGGTGGGTGTGAAACAGACACACAGAGCGTGCGGGAATCTTGGTCTGTGACCGTCTATCTGCGGCCGCCGAACTGGGGGGACAGAACCTCACGAGGAGCCGGTCCATGGTTATAAAAGGACTACAACCCGAGGGATGGAAGCGAAGGGGACAGAGGGGCTGGCTTCCACTTCCTTTGTGACAAGTGGCCCCTGGAGACCAGCTGTTTCTCCCACACCCCAGGGGTAGGACCAACTCCCTGGGAAAGTGAACCCATCACCAGGCGGCCAACAGGGCACAGGCAAGATCAGGAAAATGCTCTCTGTAGCAATCACCCGTCACTAAACCCTACAGGGTGTGAGGATGAGGTGGTCTAGTTCAGGGTCTCCAAGCGAAGAGCCCAAACCGTGTCCATGATACAACTGGTTCCGTTCCGTCAGCACCTCTGTGTCCCCGTGACATCAAAGCAAACGTTAGGTACAAGTCACGTGGGCAAGTGAGACCGCTCCCAAGCTGCCGGGAACATATGGGGAGTTCAGAGACAACCGTATGTACCTGAGTCCAGCCTGTAACAAAAACTGGCCTACAAACGGAACGTAGGGGCACCTGGGTGGCTCAGTCGGCTGAGTATCTGACGTCAGCTCAGGTCACAATCTGGCGGTTCACGAGGTTGAGCCCCACGGGGCTTTGCTGCCGTCAGCTTCAGAGCCTCTGTCTGCCCCCGCTTGTGTTTTCTCTCAAAAGTAAAACAAACAAACAAACAAAAAAAAACATTAAAAAACAAATGTATCTCACGGTTCTGGGGGCGGGAAAGCGCAAGATCAGGGCGCTGGCAGATCTGGTGTCTGGCAAGAGCCTGCGTGGTTCACGGCCAGCTGTCTTCTCGCTGTGTCCTCGCAGGGCAAGGGGGGGTCAGATCTCTCTTGGAAAGTCCCTAATCCCGTCATGGGGGTTCCACCCTCGTGACCTAACTCCCTCCCAAAGGCCCCACCTCCACATACCATGGGCGGGGGGAGGGACGGGACTAGGGCTTTAACATAAATTCTGGGGGAGCCATTCAGCCTGTCCCCTCTACACACACGAGACCGAGTTACACAATTTTCTGTGAACTTTATTGACCCTTGCAGGATACAGTACCTGTGCTTAACACACCCTGCAGTACTCTCCCCATTTATTGCCATGTTTTATAGCAGAAATATAGAAGCCATATTTTTTTTAAGGAAATATAAAAATGTTTATAAACGGACCACGTTTTGCCAAAAGCAAGGTACAAATGCCACGTGAAGAATGAACTAGACACTTCACAAGACTAACTGGACAACAAAACTGTTGGATTCAGGTGTGTGGCATGTGGTTACATCGAGATAGTCGCGGCTACCTTGCTTATTAGCGCGGCCAGCAGGGACGCACAAAAGACGATTTCGAGAAGGCGTAAAAACCCAGCCGGACACAGCCCACTGCCTGTTTCCAAAAGGCAGCCGCTGGGTTCCACGAAGGCCTCTCCCACGCTAGGCGCGCCGCGGCCGTCTACAGTCTGTAAGTGGACAAGCTGTGGCCACAGGGCCTTGGCATCAACAGGCCTCCAAAAGCTAGCAAATCCATCCTGGACGCTGGGCTCGAGGGTCTAATGGGCAGCAGAGGTGATGTTGTCTGAGCCGGGTTCCACTGTAGCTCCGGTCCCTGGTCCTACAAAGACTGAAGTGGCTCCGCCAGCGCCGGCCTCCCCCGCTCACAAGGCCCTTGAGGGGGCACAGGTCCCACATGCCCTCAGAGGCACAGACCTCAGCTTGTGTGTGCACAGAAAGCGGCCAGCCAGAACGTGGGGAAGAGAGCCACTTTTCACACCCTCCCAAACCCCATATCCCCCCAGAAGCTCAATCAACAGAAGACACTCACTTAAGGTCTACAAGACTAATCTGCTTTGCCTGGGAGACGGCTCGGTGTGTTACGGTCTAGCGACTGGAACACGTACTGACCCTTCACACCGATTCGCTTCACCGGAATAATCCAGTCTCCCAGTCAGCAGGACCACCGCTTCCATCTGAGACTGGCTTTGCGTGTGATCCTGAGGTCACTGTCCACCTGCAAAGCTGCTGTCTGCACCGGCTGGCTGACAATCAGACAAGCCGCCCACTCCCGGGGAACACCGCTTCGCTTCTTTGAGCGATTCTCCTGCGGTGGACAAAACGGATCTTTGGCTTATGCCTCACATAGGGAAACAAACTGTTTGCTCGTACAAAACATTCTGTTGAAACACGGAATGAAACATTCTCAAGTCCTGTCACCCAAGTTAATATTCCTGATGCAGAAACCCACACAGAGAGTCAGCAATTCATTCAGTTCTATTCCCCCCACCAAAATGCATCCCTCGTAGAAATCAATCATTCCATTTCTAATTAAAAAATCATGATTTAATTTTAGACTCTGAAATCTACACTCCATTAGCACCTCTAGACAAGCAGCACACGCCCAAACGTTTCCGGCCCAGGGCCTCTGCTCTTCCCTGGAACTTCCAGGCCGCTGTGTCGGCACCTACCAGACCTTCCATCCCAAAGTTTACCCGGTACCTTCCTTGCTCCCAAAATCCTGTGTCTTCCCCTTGGAGAACTGCTACGCCAGCAAGAGAGGACAACGATTTGTATCAACAAACGCAGAACAGTGCCACGTGCGCCTGGTCAAGTATTACTGCAGGAACTCGATGTCCCATCCCAGAGACCCAGAAATTTTTCCTCCTGCCTCCCACCTTGGCAAAGCCAGGTCCTGCCACAAGCCCAGAAAAATACGGACCCCTCCGGCTGACAAAGAGCAGACCCGGGCTCCTTGAAGAGAACAAAACAACCCTTAAGGTCCCTGGGAAGAGAGAGCGATTTGACAATGAGCAATATTTAGCTCTACCTTCTCAATGACCAATCTTGTCTGAACGGTGCAGAGGGAGCAGACCTGGACATGCGGCAGGTTCACGGTGGGCTCTTCTTTCTGGAAGCGCTGAAATGTCTTACCCTCTTCACACACACTCACACACACACACTCACACACCTCCACGACAGGTGCACTGCCCTCTGAAGAGTCACGTTTCAAGAGTCACACTGCAGAACAAGTGCGTTATAAAATTTATTCATGTAAGCATTCAGACACTTGTAGGTGGGCAGGATGATACGCGGGTTTCACAAGGAGCGACAGGAGATCCTACCAGAAAGGACGGTGCAGCGGGCGCGGGGCTGGCAGTGGCACAATTTCAAACAAATGTTAAGACGAGAGCACTTCATCGGGGAGCAACTTAAAATAATTAAAGCTTCATGAGGCCAGATATGTTCCGATTTAAAACACTAAGAAATAGTACCATCAAATGAAATGAAATCAACCTCTACGGGGACCAAGAGGGCTGTCGGGCAGACGAGAGGGCGGTGTGCGTGTGTGGAGGTACAAAGAGTGTTCGCGGGAGGGGTGCTTATTATCATTAATGGCAAACCCTGCAGATACAAAAGAAAACCCAAATCACTGATCACATAATTCAAAATTTACATGTAATAAAGGCAAGGCAAGAGACTCGAGTTACGGCCTGTCAAATATTTACTCCACTGACATTATCTACAGAAGCACTCGGCCAATTTGTACACGGGGACTCCTGACACACGCCAGAAGGGTTTCCGTAAAAACGACACTATATACAATCTGTACACTGACCCACCAGAGCGATTCCCCATCTCCCGGGGAGGGGAGTGATCAACTTAAAGCAGGATACCTGAGGTTTCATTTCGGATGTGGCCTTATCGTGATCCCACATATACATTTCAGGGCCTGTTTTTGTTTTTAAAGACACTTTCCTTGATATGTGCACACTGGCTAAAATTAAGAACAAGAACCATAAAATAAAATGATCGCTTGAAGGAGCCGACCTGACCCACCCACCCCCCGGAGACTTCACGCGGTGCAGGCCGGGAGAAAGGGCGGCGCGGGGCCCCGGAACGGGCGGCACGGGGTGGGGGGACGGCCCCCGGATGGCGCACCACTGCAGCCGAGTCAGCAAAGGCTCTCGTTGACTTTGTACGAGGAGGATGAAGAGGAAAAAAAGAAAAACAAAACCCCAAATGCCAAAGGAATTTCAGTGGGATGAAGTTCCTCCACCACTTAGAGAATATCTAGAGGGGGAGAAAAAAAAAAGAGAAAGAGAAGTGAATGTCATTTCTGTAACCTCCGTGCAAAAATCCAAACCACCACCCAAATCCTACTTTTGCTGGGCAAGCCCAAGTCATAAAAAAAATTAGGCAAATATCAGCGGGTTAATCACTAAACAATGCATAAAAACTAAGAAAACTGTGATTTCGACACAACTTTTCACAGGTTAAATTCAGTCCATCGAAGAACTGAAAGTCTATAACGGAAAGTGAGAACACGTTCGGTCTCCCAGGGGGGAAAGAGTTGAAGAACAGAACAATAAATGGCGTGGCTTCGCTTACAGTCCATTTTTTAAAATTAAGGAATCAGTAAAACCCAAACACATACACATGGCTGGATTACAGATGGGCACAAGAAAACCCATTTTGGCCACAAAAATATCGATGCTTGTTCAAGTAATCCACTTCCTAGAACTGTTTCAGAAATGGGGTCCAAAGAAGGAGCCGTGTATTTTGCACAAAGATGCCTCTTAGATTTTTTGTAACTGTAAAACAGGGAACAACTTTGATGTCCAACTGTAGAGAAACGGTTAGACAGACTAACCAAATTTTTAAACAGATTAAAAATTGTAATTATAGGGGTGCCTGGGTGGCTCAGTTGGTTAAGCATGCAACTTTGGCTCAAGTCATGATCTCGTAGTTCGTGGGTTCGGGCCCCGCATTGGGCTCGGGCCCCGCGTTGGGCTCTGACAGCTCAGAGCCTGGAACCTGCTTCGGATTCTGTGTCTCCCTCTCTCTCTGCCCCTCCCCTGCTCTCTCTCTAAAATAAACATTAAAAACACTTTTTTAAATTAAAAAAATTGTACTTATATTTAGCAACATGAGAAATACACACAAATGTGTACATAAAATTATACAGGCAGTACACATGTATAGTTTCACATGCACAATTTATTCTAAATACTATAGAATATCAAAAACTTATATGTGCACTAATTTGGAGACATGTAAAAAGTTGGGCAAATTTATGATCTGTATAGAACAATGGAAGCCAACGAACAAAACTGATATTCCTAACTGGGCTGCACTGGTGGGGTCACGGCACTTTCTTCTGGTTTCTGTTAGTTCTGCAGTACTATCTTGCTCTGGAATAAAAACAAAAAAGGAGCGGGGTCCTCTTATGGCCAAGATCCCCTCGGCTACCTCAAAACAGAGCCCAAGTCACAGGAGAGGGCTGAGGACCTGTTCAATGGAGAGAATGTCAAACATTCCAACCTCTGGCTCCTCTTTTAAGGCATTAAAATACTTGGCACCCTCCCAGAGAAAGGATCATGGAAGATCTTCTTGAAAAGCAGGCTCCGACCACAGATCCTAAAACTCATTTTCCAAGAAATATAAACGCCTAAGCCATGGGAGGAGTTGATGCCATGCAAAAAGAGCCACGCGTTAATTCAAATTAAGACACAGAAGTCTCTGAAATGCTTTAGACAAAAATCGTTTATTTTTTCTGAGGTGATCCACTGAGGGACCGCCTTTATGGAGCTAAACGGGAACGAGGCAGCAACAGTGGCCACTGTGGCATGGTGGCATATGGGTGGGGAATACACAGGAAGAGCTCGGGGGGCCTCCAAGGAGTGAACGGACAGCACCTGCTAATAAGCCTGTGGGGACCCAGCTAAGAGCCCCCCCGGAGCAGGGTCCTCTGCTGGTTGCAGAGGAGAGCGTGTCTGCACATGACAAAGGAAAGGAAAACAAGACAGAATGGTCTGGAGGCCAGAAGAAAGAACGTGGACTAGTGTTTGGCGAGTACAAATTTATTTTTTTTTATTTTTTTTTTTATTTTTTTAACATTTATTTATTTTTGAGACAGAGAGAGACAGAGCATGAACAGGGGAGGGTCAGAGAGAGAGGGAGACACAGAATCCGAAACAGGCTCCAGGCTCTGAGCTGACAGCACAGAGCCCGACGCGGGGCTCGAACTCACAGACCACAAGATCATGACCTGAGCCAAAGTCGGACGCTCAACCGACTGAGCCACCCAGGCGCCCCGCGAGTACAAATTTAAACATGATGTGGACAGCGGCAATCACATCTGACTTACAGATGCTCAACGCTCACACCAGCGGCGGCCGAGACCCCAAAATGTGGCCAGTTCACACTGAGACGTGCTGTGAAGCGTAAAACACACCGGACTGCAAAGACCTGGTAAAAAGCAGGTGCGAAACGCCTCCCCGGTAACAGTGTGCACCGACCACGTGTCGAGAAACATGTGGCAACCAGTGGGTTAAAAAATCTATTATTACAACTAACTTTACCTGTTCCGCTCTTCCGGTTTTCTCACGAGGTAACTAGAAAACCTGAAGCTCTGTGCGTGGCTCACACTGTCTACTGGAGAGCACGGGTGGAGATCCCCTGGGTCCACAGTGCCAAGGAGGGAGCAGAGAGATCAACAAAAATGCACAGGCCACACCCCCGTGCCCCGGAGCCTCAGGGAAATCGGGTCACGTGCGGGCATCCCTGCTAAGCATCTCAGGCAGTTTGAGACAACGTGGAAAAGAGTCCTAAAAGCGACGCTAGGAAAGCAGCAAACCAAACCAAGACCACACACAGAACCACCAGAACCAGCCACGTGATTTTACGGTTCCTTTTAACAGGAATTTTCGAAACACAGCTAGAATGGGGAGCGAAGGGAGTCCAAACTGCTCCGAGAAATGAGAAAAGTGGCCATTAAGTTATGATGAAGGAACAGGGGGCAGCCGAGGAGCTGAGAAGCATCGTCTCACGACCAACAGCCGGTGAGCCCTCTAACAATGCCACACGACCGTCCCTGCACGTGCACGCGGGACGGTACACGCAGACCTGTCAGCCCCTGTTCGGGTGAGCGGACGGGTGACTGCAGCTCTCTCTTCCTTTATGCCTCAGATTTGTTCCTGTCAACAGCGGGGAGGGGGGTAAACCCGAAAGTGTAATGGGGTCCTTCCAGCCTCAGAATAGGCGGCGGCCACGTAAACGGGCCTCATTCTCCAGTAGCCCTCGAGCACCGGCTGGGAAGGCCAGACACCTTCTACAAAGGAGCCTGTGGCCACGGGAACAAACCTGCAGGGAGGAGTGAGGCCGGGCCCCTACATCCCCCTTCACCAGGGCTCGGCCCCTGCCAGAGGGCAGCCCCTTCGGCCATCACTTCCAAGTGGCAAAAGGAACCCAACGTGCCCCCAACTTCCTTATGTGTTGTCAAGGCAGCCTCTCTGGGAAGAGCTGAAATGTTCCTCACTGTCACTGAGGCTCGGCCTAGCTCTGGAAGGGGCTCGGGAGCCTGGACAATTCACAATTCACCTGGAAGGTATTTTTTGTTTTCTTTTTTAAATTTTTTAAATGTTTGTTTACTTTTGGGGCCAGGGACCCCCTTCCAGGGGGGGGGGGGGGGGGGGGGGGCAGAGGATCCGAAGTAGGCTGTGCACTGACAGCAGAGAGCCCGATATGGGGGCTTGAACCCACGAGCCATGAGATCATGACCTGAGACAAAGTGAGACGCTTAAGCAACTGAGCCACCCAGGTGCCACAAAGGAGGTGATTTTCAAAGCCATGACATGGCTGGCTTTTGGGAGAGTTGCAAAGGTTTGGGGGTGCAGAGCAGAGCCTGGGTCACAGCACACCTCTCCACTCTCTCCAACCCCCCCAAATGACTGCCCTTCCGCGGGAGTGACATCGAAGCGACCTTCACAAGGAGGCTATCGCAAGTCTGAGAGTGGGTGGGGAAGCCCAGGCCGTCCCCCACCCCCACCCCCACCCCAGGGCCACAGGCAGGGCAGAGCACACCTGCCGACACAGTAGGGCTCCCGGGCACCGGGGGTGGGGGGGAAGAAGTGGCCTAGGCACCTGAGGAAGCGAACACGCCCATGTCCTAACTCACCGAGCCCCAACTTCTGGCACCGTGGGCCTGACTTTGAAAGCAGAAAACCAAGCGCATTACAAACACATGGGTAAGGAGCACACCTCTCCGGCTGAGGGTCAGGCTGCCTCACTAGGAGCAGATAGGCCTTTTAAAGGCACTGGGCATTTACGTGGTAAGAGCTACAGTCTCACAAAGTCTGTGGTCCTTCCATATTCCTATCATTCTTTTACAGTGATTGAGTTCTACAACTCAGAACTTTCTGAAACTTGATTCTGTTTCAACCGTGTGGCGGGAAGCTAACAGCACCCGACCGGGAACGAAGCGCCCCAGGGACAGAGAGGGTTGACCAGCAGTCCCTTGGAAGGGCAGAGAGAGCCACGGGGCAGACACGGCAGAGCCCTCCTCCCTGGACACAGTTACCTCTGCAGCCGCTGGACGAGCTGGGCCACCATGGTGTCCGAGATCCCAGGGCAGGCCTCTTCCGCCAGGTAGATGGCCCCGCGCAGTTCCTCTATGGGCCCCGTGTTCCCGCCACACGACTGGCTCTTCTCCTTCAACTGGAAACACACAAACACAAAGAGCAGCATGACCCACATGGGCACGGGGATCGCCGAGCGCCTCCTATACAGGGTTACATGACGTGCCAGCCCAGACCGCTGCCCCCTTCCGTTCCTTTCCAGGAACAACTCCGTGACAGCACTCTGTACAGGAAGGGCAGGAGTCAGACCTACGTCACCACCTCTGCTAGCGAGAAACAGAGACAGCTAGCCTTCTGTGCATCTTTTCAAGATCTGATCGAGGCATCCGTCCCTCTGCTCATTCCACTTCGACCTTAATCTCTACCAGAAAAGCAATCCCAAAGTCGCTCAGCTCTGGCTTCCACAGCAAAGCTGCAACGTGCACTGTGGCTTAGATCCTGGTGGTAAGGGGCTGGCTCTGAAGGCTCCAGCAAATGGCCTTTCTGGACCCGGGGGCTGTCAAAACATTCTCCTTCGTGCAACCAACTGGCACCCCTAAATTCTGGGAAGCTGGCATCCCTATCGGCCCCTCTGCCCCCATAAGAAATCACGACAGTGTCCTCAGCACCGCCTCACGTGAGGCTGATGACTTGTAAGCCCTCTCTGGGATAGATGTGACCAAGACGTGCCCCATGACAAGGAAAGCTGTTCCAGCACCAGGCAGCAGGTGCACGGCTGAGCCTCTCCAAACAAGAGCCTCCTCCTCGATTTCACCTTTAGGAAATCATTCACCTTTAGTTTCGGCTTTCAAGCTGCTGGGAGAACACATCACTCCCGGCACCAACCCCATCCTGACCACACTTCCCCCTTCCGCCGGCTGAAGGGGCACACGAGGGAACCAAAAGCCGTGGCGTTGGAGGGGCTGTGGGAGGGGGTTCGCTCGCTGGGCTCCTGCTGGTCACAGACTGTGGTGTGGCAGACCCGGAGGTGGCCACCTGTGTCTGTCTAGGACTCCCCATCACTTAACAACCACAGAGAACAGCATTTGCAAGTCCTGAGTGTGTAACCTCTGCCTTCCCCTGTTTCCCACTCGGTTTTCCTCCCTTGCTTGATCAGCCCCCGACTGGAGTGAGCCACCTGCACCCACTGATGTCAGGAACACGCGCATCCGCAGACACGGGGTTGAGGAGTTTTGGAGTATGATGTAAAATGACACACACTGAACACTTCAAACACGTGGTTACCGAGTACTACTAATAAAAACAAAGAAAAGACACCTGTGACTTTACCTTCAGGCTAGCAGGGAAAAAAAATCAAAATCAAAGCAGTATTCCATTTAGGATTAATTCATTAATTCAAAATAATGATTCCAGAACAGTTTCTTCACATGCGCCACGAAAAATACATGGCTTCAGACAAACAGGAAATACCTATGCCATTTTCCCAAACTGCCTGACGCTGGTGGAGCGCCAATGGCAAGATCACAGGGGAGCAAGGGAACATCCAGAAAGCCTGAAGGACCACTCTCCCAAACTACACAATAATGAGCAAGATGGTGTCTTATGGACAGAAGAGGAAGAGTGCAGGTACCCAGAAAAATCAGCCAGGACGAGAGCCAAAGAAGGACACAGAGAGGCCTCCACCTGCCCTGTGGGAAACCCGTGCGTTCAGTGGTTTCAACTCCACACTCCAGGCCCCTCAGGCATGTTCGAGCCTGGCCCCTCAGCAAGCACGGCCCCTCAGGCAAGTTCGAGAGGGCAGACCCTGGGCAGGGGACGGACTAGGAGCTGGACAAAGCCAACCCGGACACCGGGCGGGGGGGGGGGGGGGGGCCCAGGGACCATGCCAAGGGGGAGTCATTGTGTGACTGAGGTTCAGGCCAAGTGGAGTGAGCAGTGTGGGGAGCCTGTGTGTATGGAGGCTCCCCTGCGGAGCTCTGAATCACCAAACAGAAGGTACTAGAGTGCGACTCGTTCTGAATTATCTTACAGGCAGCCTGAGAGTGTGTGTGTGTGTGTGTGTGTGTGTGCGCGCGCGCGCGCGCGGGGGGGGGGGGGCCCCCAAAAAAAAAAAAGGACAGGGAGATCTCCAACTTTACTTTCAAATCACCTACTAACTGGATGAAGAATAATCTTCAGTTTCAAAATCTATTGTTGAGAACATCTCAAAATGCCATATACATATAGGTACCTACATGAGTCGGGTGGGGATGTGGGGGGCTCCCCAGGGAAGGAACAGGGAACCAGCACATGGGTGTAGTCCCAGAACGAAGGAGGGACAGGGGCTGCTCACTGGGGACACTGGTGGCCTGCTGGGTTAAGTGACTACAGGAGGATCCCAGTGAAATATGGGGGCACTCTGGGACAACTCAGGTCTCCAGGAATCCGATTTCTCCTTTCAAGTAAAATCCTACTTTTTACATCACCATACACTTGTCTGCGGTAAAGCAACCACGCTACAGCCAAACAGATTTTGTAGAAGGTAGTATAACTGAGGCTGAAAATCGCCCTGGTCTCACAGAGACTTGGGCTGGGCCAGAACACTTGAGGTGACATCACAGGGACGTTTCCCAGGAGGGGCGCCGGGAAGGTCGTGCCCAATCCCGCCCAGCCTCAGGGGACCACGGTGCGGACTCTCCTCCTGCTTATGCCAACTTCTTCTAACCTCCCAAATGCTACGGGCAACATGTCACAGAAAGAAGACCCTGCTCCCCACTACTTCCCCCGCCACATCCACCCCCCCCCAAAGTCAACTGGGGATCTTACCTCTGCAAACAGAGGAGAAATAATTGTAGATAAACACTGAGAGAAAGGCCTCTTTGGGATGTCTTTCATCTTAGGGAAGAAAGAAAAGGTAATCAGAGGGAAGTATTTTAACATTCATACTGCAACAATTCAAACTGTAGACTTCAGACATGCATCACATCAAATCTGAAATGCTGTCTGTTTGCGGGGATACCCAATGGGTCTTGCTGTCTTTCACCAGACTACAATGTTTCATTTGCAGCAATGCGCAACAAGCATGCAGCTGGGGAAACCAGGGTCCGGGTTCCAAATGGAAAGACCCACGAGGTCCCAAAAGTGGCATCTGTATTCCAACACTGTGCTACCTATGTAGTGGGACTTGACTACAGAAACCAGAACCGAAGCTGACTGTTGCCAAGCGACTGTCTTAGGACAGCGGCCTATTTTCTACTTTTGCAACCTCTATAATAACTCCTATCTGCTTATCAAAGCCAGACTTATAGGATCACCAGGGGGCAGCCACTGGTCTACATTGCCGGAGAGGGACTACGCCACCGTGCTGTAAAAAGATTTTAAAAATACAGTTTTTCATAAACTTAAATAGGCATAAAACCAATTAATCAAAATAAGGTTTTATATATGTACCAAAAGCACTACATTTGTTTTTAAGATCTTAAACAAAAACTTCATCCCAAAATTCTGGTACCTTTTATGAGTAACCCCAATACAACAAAGCAATACCCTGACCCCTGCTAATGTGCAAGTGTCAGGAAACGGATTCCACGGTGGTGGTGCAGGGCTGGGGGTGGGGTGGGGAGACAGCAGCAGCCTCTGCAGAGCAGACCTGAGGCCAGATTCTCAGGTCTGACTCTCTGGGTCATGAGACAGAATCTTTTTTTTTTTCTTTTGTTTTTTAATTGAAATTCAAGTTAGTTAACATACAGTGCAATCCTGGCTTCAGGAGTAGAACCCAGTGATTTGTCACTTCCATATAATACCCAGCGCTCATTCCAACAAGTGCCCTCCTTAATGCCCATCACCCATTTAGCCCACCCCCCCCACCCACGTCCCCTCCAGCAATCCTCAGTTTGTTCTCTATATTTAAGAGTCTCTTGCTGCTTGCCACCCTCTCAGTTTTTATCTTTTCCTTCCCTTCCCCTATGTTCACCTGTTGTGTTTCTCAAATTCCACATAGGAGTGAAATCGTAGGATACCAGACAACATAACCTCTTATCTGTCAATTCAGGGACAGCGACATTCCAAAAAAGCCTGCCCAGTAAAGGAGCAGGCTCCACACAAAAGGGACTCAGGACCACCACTGGCTGATGATGACAGGTGTTAGTCGCTGAGCCAACGTTACCTTATTCCTTTCTAAGTCTGAAGGCTGAAGGGCTCCATTCTCAAGATTCTTTGGATCTTTCTCCCGGATAGTGAAGATCCAGTCCCCAGAGTCACTGCCTCCAGACGCCTGGCTGTCGGTATCTGTTTCCCTTTGTAGAGAAATGCAGGCCAACTCCGTGAGCCAGCGCACGGCTCCGTCCCAAGGAGACCCACGCTCTCCTGCCCCAACCGAGCACTGGGCACTGCCCAGCCACCCCCCAGACTCCACCTCTACCTCCCATCTCCACTCTCCACCACCACACCCCCCTGACCCTCCTTTCAGAAGAGGACCTTGCCTCCTGCCTCAGAGAAAAGGAGAGACCATCAGACTGAGGCTCCCATAACTTCCCACAGTGCTGGCCGCCCCCACACTTTCCATCCCGCCTCCCGAAAGGGAGAGAGGCGTCTCTTCTGCAGTACAATCCCCCGCTGCGCGACAACCCCTCTCCTGGAGGGCACTTTTCTCCTCTTGGTCTCCCTTCCCATGAACAACAAGTAGCCAGGCCTGTGGCTCCCTCAACACACCCGCCCCTCGAGCTACGGCCATGTCTCAGTCTGAATTCTTGGATGTGTTACCTACACTCACTGCCTCCATTCCTTACATTCTACTCACGCCAGAACCAACCTCGCCCCTGCACTGATGCCCAAGGCCACCGATGCCCAGCACACCACTGGACAAGGGGGTTACCGCTCAGTCCTTCACCTACTTGAGCCCTGAGCCTCAATGTTCCTGCTCATCACCCTTCCCCTCCAGGCTCTCTGCACCCAGATCGCCCCTGACCCGGGTCATCCACAGGGTCGTCCTCTACACTAGGCGCTTCCCAGCACTCGGCCCTAGGCCTCCGGTCCTTCGCACTCTGCAGATGGAATCTGGGCAGCACCATTCACTCTCGTGGCTCCAATGACCATTTAGAGCGTGATGACTTAAAATCCATGACCCTCGCCTACACGCCTCCTGAGCCTGGATGCCATTCTACACTGGACACATCCTCTTGGATGTCTCATCAGTGACTCACAGCCTGTATTCAGGACACTGTCCTAACAGCCCCCACGTTCACGTCAGAGCAGGTGGTCTAGCTTCCCCCGACACCTCGTTCGTGTCTTCAGCTAACGGAATTCCAACAGGCTTAACTTGATGCCAGTTTTTAGTAAGCAGCTTCCCACAGAGCTTGTACAACCCAAGTGTCTACCACAACACAACACGAGATCGTAAAAAACATACGTTTCTATCTTTTAAAAAAATACTTTTAAGGCAGTTTGATCAATATTTTTAACAGCAGGAAGAAGAAAAGAAGGAGGCCAGTTCTAGTCCTTTAAGAGCAATTCCGCCATACGGATTTTTCCTGGACAGACTCCACTGGCAACAAAAAGAGGCTAATAGGCTCCCAAACTGTCCCGTGCAAACACAAGAATCCCCATCAAGCCGGATTATCTAAAGACATATCGAATTCACAAGCAAGGCAGTAACAACCACTCCCCACCCCCCACAACACCCAAACAAGAGACAAGAACACACACGAACGTGACGCATGCCCAGGGCTCACAGGCACCCCCCCACGCCCACCCCCACAGCCCACAGGAGCCCGGCTCATGTGCACCCTACAATCCGGGGGAGCCGACTCACGTGTCTGAGTCTTCAGAACCGGAGTCTTCGTGGCTCTGCTCGGCCCTCCATCTCTTGTACCTGTCGATGAGCTCGGTCAGGTAGGAGGTCTTCTTTGAGTTGCGTATTATAAACTTGTGCTTCAGTAACTCCTTAGCAGTGGGTCTCTGGGAAACAAACCACCAAACGAGAGAAAGCATAAGATGAAGTTCCCTGCATTCTGATTCTGCCCTGAAGGACAGACTTCAGCCTCAAAATGTCAAACAAGCATGCTAAAACTAAACTGAAGATCAAGTTCTGCTTCAGAGTTCGTTTCCGTAACAAAAGCCATTATTCAAACAACAGTCGTTGGGCACCCGTGGGTGGGAGTCCACGTTCAGTGTGGACACACAGCACTTAGTATCTAATGCGGTCCTGGACATTCTATAGGTAACCATCCGATGAAAGCAAACAACCTTCCTCTAGAAAAACGCATTTACACAGGAAACGTGTCAGAGAATTTCAGAGATCATTCAAGACACCTAGAACACATACCTTCTGGTGTTCACACGACATGTTATTACAAATGCCGGCAGGAGAGAAAATATATATTCTGTGTTACCTTGGTGATCTTCTATGTTAACGTTTGGCTCCTTCTCCCCAACACAGTAAGATAAATGTTCATTTGGCTACATCTAGAGGAAACTAGAGAGGAGCCAAGAGATTCCCTTTTCTTTGATACCGAAACAGAACCCAAGTTCCCTGGCTCATCAGCTTCCCCAATTCAGAAATACTGGTTTCCTTAGTCTGTCTCTTCCCCTGGGATTGGGGCGAGGCCCTCACCCAGGGCCTCGGTTCAGCCTGGCCACAGCCACACAGCATACTTGGAACTTGGCAACCGCTTTTGAGGATGGCAAACCCAATCATTACGGGGAGCATGGCTTCCCAGGGAGAAATGAATGTGGCCCAAACCGGGGCAAACAGCAAGAACACACAAACAACACCAGTTAGACTAAGGTCCCACTTAGTCCGAGTTACTAAAGCTTTATTCACGAGAGCCGGGCAGGTGTCTCAAATTCAAACTTACAGAAAACCTGGGTCACCTCAGGTTACGTCTCCCTCCCTGTCAGTTTCCCTGATTGTGAAGCTCCACATGTGTCAGAAGTGCTCAAACCCTCAGCTTCTCGTCCTTTCCCTCCATGCACATGGGGACCAGGCAGGGATGGGGATGTGTGCGCTGGGCAAGTAGGCGGATACTAGAAGTCGACTTGGCATGGGATACACATCGCGGGTGTATCTTCTTAAGTGCTGCTGCACCGTGGCGGGGGGCTCACATCAAGACAGCACGTCCAGAGCGGTGTCGACAGAGAGAGGAACAGTCCACACCCCTGACGCCTGATGCTTTCCTGAGATGCCGGCTTGTGTGGCCTCAGGCTGCACCCCCAGAGGTTCGGAGAAAATGTTGCATTTCCCCATCGCGTTCCTTCACAAAGCTGGCATATTAGAGAACCATGGTGCTCTTGTAAACTTAGTCACCCCTTTTCAGATAGGAGCTCATTAAAAAAGGGCTTCGGCTTGGCCTTCAGCCAATGCTGCTGCAAAACTCAGAAATAAATCAAGGGCATAAGGTGCTATACACAACACCGAAATACAAAGGTAACTTTCAAAGATATATCCTAATTGAGAGACAATTCGGCTAACGCTGTATAGGGTTACTGCCATATGACTCTGCCAGGGTCAACTGTGCCCAAGAAAAGAGTAAAAAGGAAAGGACAGGAGGGCAAGGTGGGTGATTCACTTCTGTTTTTTTATTTGCCTTTTCTTTCCTAACACACACCAAGAAGAAACTGAAAACATCTACTTTAAAGACACATTTAGCCATTATTTTTTTGGCCAGACTTCGCGATTACTAAAAACGGCTTAAAATAGCCTGACCTTTCACTATAAATATTAAAAATTTATGATTCCACATATAATATTAAGGAGAACAGTCCTCGGGCTCAATGAGGTTATGAGAAGGTAGACAATCTGAAAGGAAATAAGTAGATTTTCGTTTCTTGCAAGATAAACAATAAATAAAAACATTTGCAACTCAAATCAATCATAGCCATGTAGAAAAAAACTTAATGTGGGGCGCCTGGGTGGCTCGGTTGGTTAAGCTTCCGACTTTGGCTCAGGTCACAATCTCACGTTTCGTGAGTTCGGGCCCTGCACTGGGCTCTGTGCTGACAACTCGGAGCCTGAAGCCTGCTTCAAATTCTGCGTCTCCCTCTCTCTCTCCCCCTCCCCCGCTTGTGCTCTCTCAAAAATAAATAAATGTTAAAAAAAAAAAAATTATAAAAAAAAATCAACGAGATCGTGAAGACAATGGTGACTAGGACAAGAGCGATTACAGAAATTCCAAGAAAATGTATCTAGACCAAGTGTGGCCGCACAGGAAGAGACGCCCGCCCCGAGCTTGCAAGACTCACAAAGCTTGGCTCCTTGTTCAAACAGGCTTCAACGAACTCCTTGAGGGCTTTGCTGTAGTTGCCTTCCAGCGTTGGGGGATTGTTCTTTGGAATGAGGAATAAAACCTTCATGGGATGCAGCTCGGAGTGAGGGGGCTCCCCTTTTGCGAGCTCGATGGCTGTTATGCCCAGGGACCAGATGTCTGCCTGCAACAACAGAGCATCTTTAGAGACACCGGGAAGTGAATAAATTCAAATAAATAGATTTCTTAAGGAAGGAAAAAAAAATTCACACACATCTCAGTGTACTTCTGAGGTTTTAAAGATCATTATTTTTAAGTGAACAGAAAAAAGGCTTTGGAATAATTTCAAAATAGGCGACACATAGGAGAAAATTTAATACATAAAACATCCTCTGGCCCTGCACCTAGGCAGCTTTTACAATTATTCATCCTCCATTTACTGCTGGAAGTACAAGGCACTCCGTGTTAACTGAAGTCCCCGGAGTTGTAGGATGGGTAAGGAGAGGTGAGCAGAGAGGGCACACTGGGGGCGTGGAGGGGTTCCGCGACTCATCCCATCAAGCCAGCTTACGACTAAGCACAGCTGTGAGGTCGAGAGCAGGCACACTGGTCCCAGAGACTTGGGTTTAAACGCCAGTTCTACAACCAAAGCCTTATGACATTACACAAAATATCTAGCCTGTGAGCCCAGTTCTCTCATCTGTAAGATGGGAATAATACCAGGGTGGTTGAGCAAGGTGCCTCACATAGTGCCTAGAACTTAAAGGAAATGGGTTTCTTATTTAAATGTTCAAGCGCACATAGAAATGGAGAATATTAACTGAATGTACCCCCCCCCAGACTCATCACATGAAGTTACTAATTATTAACAATTTGCCACATGGGCTTTGTCTATTTTTTGCCACAGTGCCTTGTAAAGGAAATCACACACACCATGACGTGCACCCTTTGCTTCAGCTTTGTAAGGGTTTTTTACTACCTATCAACACCTAAAATTAACAGTAATTTTAAAACTGACAATAATATGGGGCACCTGGGTGGCTCAGTCGGTTAAGAATCCGACTCTTGGTTTCAGCTCAGGTCATGATCTCACAGTTAGTGAGTTCGAGCCCCACGTCAGTCTCTGCACTGACAGCATGGAGTCCTCTTGGGATCCTCTCTCTCCTTCTTTCTACTGCTCCCCTGCTCGTGCTCTCTCTCAAAATAAATAAGTAAACTTAAAAATTAACAATAATTTAATATGCTGTAACAATAGTTAAATTTTCTCAATTCTTAAAGTATTTTCACGGTCAGCTTGCTGGAATCAGGATCCAAAGGAAGCCCATACCTTGCGATCAGCTGGCAGGTCACCTAAGGCTCTTTTAATGTACAACAGCCTGCACCCTGCCCCATCTCCCCAGTGCCACTGTCTTGAGGAAGAAACAGGCCCCCAAATTATGGATTTGTCTGGTTTCTTCTGGAGTCAATTACTGCTGTTTTTCAAGCTCCTGTATTTCCTGTCAAATGACAGGTTAATTGGCTCTCGGGGCTTGGTTAGATCCACCGCTGGCAGGAAGCAGGAGGCATCACACAGGGTCCAGCTGCCCAGTCCCACTCCTGCTGTGGCCACAGGGGGTCAGCTGGGGGGAACCGAACCCCATGGCCATGGGAGGCAAGTAAAAAAAAAAAAAAAAAAAAAGCAGGTAGTCTTGAAGAAAGCAGTTAAGGAGGCTCCCTCGGCAGTTGCTAGCAGCCCCAGGCAAAAGGGACAGCCACTGTTAAGGACACAGCAGGACCGAGGGGCCAGTAAAGCAGGGGAGGAGGTAGGGTGGCCTCTGCCCCACAGCAACTACCACACCTTTGGTGCTCTGCTCACCGGGCACTGGAAACCCATGGCAGATCAGAACCTAATTGATCCCTCCACTCACTCTACGGCAAGGAAACGGAAAGGCTGAGACACCGTTCGGGTCACGGCAGGACACAGACATTTCTGACCTTCAAGACCCACCGTGTCCTCACAACCCTAGTGAGTGCCAGAGACCCTCACGGCTATCTCCCCACCCAGCAGCCCGTGCGGTCGGGGCCAACCACACGCTCCATTTCTTCTGTTCTCAGTGAAGATGGCTGCAACAGGCGGCAAGCCCCATTCTAAATTCCTCGTCCTACAGGGATCGGACTGGAAGAGTCACATGGGGAGCCATATTCCCACTTGCCTTCCCTTGGCAGCCCGGACTCTGCTTCGGTTCACGTGTGTAGTTGCTTTTAAAATCAGCAAGGGGGCGCCTGGGTGGCTCAGTCAGTTAAGCGTCCGACTTCGGCTCAGGTCATGATCTCACGGGTTCGTGAGTTCGAGCCCCGCATCGGGCTTTGTGCTGACAGCTCAGAGCCTGGAGCCTGTTTCAGATTCTGTGTCTCCCTCTCTCTGACCCTCCCCTGTTCATGCTCTGTCTCTCTGTGTCTCAAAAATAAATAAACGTTAAAAAAAAAATTTTTTTTTAATAAAAAAAAAATAAAATCAGCAAGAAGGTGACTGACCGCAGAGTGCCTGCCCCCAGGAGGGGGAAGCTGGGTCACGGGGGCGTGCGGCAGGACGAGAACAGGCGTGCAGGGAGGGAGGGATGCGAGCGCGGGGGAGCACTCAGCCCTCACATGGCGGCAGCTCTTTCCCCTCAACGTCCAGCTGCCACTCCCGCCTTCCTGGACTTGGCGAGAACTGCTGCTCTTTGCAAAGCCTGCTGCTTGGCATCCATCTGCCTCCCGGCCGTACAGACACAGGGCCTTAGTCCCACTGACCCCTGGGACCACCTCCAGGCCCCCAAGCATCCCACAACCACTTAAAAACTCAATAATTGGAAGGCCAGACTGACGATGGTCTTTGCTGGTGGCCTCTTGTGGCATGCCCGTGCACTTACTTCCCTCAGGCTCCAGGCCGGACAATAAGCAGACAGCCACAACATTTCAAGGACCCGGCCCCTGCTTCCACACGCCAGTACAGGCCAAAGGTCGGCCAAGGAAGCCGCCTTCTCAGCCCCACCCATAAGACATCGCCAAGGTCTTCAGAGAGGCACAGGCATCGCCCTCCTGCGTCCTCCGGCGGGGGGGGGGGGGCCGGCCAGTACAGCTTCGTCATAGCAAAACATGTGCCAGCCAGCCAGGCAGCCGAGCCAGGAGCCCGTGTGTCACACCAGCTCTTGAATTCCTCTTTGGATCCTCCTAGATCAGCCAGGTGCCAGGTGTGTGGCTCCTGGTCTCTGGGCACCTGGTCCCCCTCTATCCCCCTCTATCCTTTGTTCCCTGGGCTTCTCTGGGGGGCTCCCGAGTGTCTTCCTCCCTGGGGACTCCCTCTCTAAACATCTCACACCCTGCTGACTAATGTGGAAAACTTGATGGACACTTGAACACATGGCAAGGAAGCTGGCGTTATGTGTCAAAAGCCATAAAAATATCCACACTTGCTAAAACCAATTAATTCCACTTCTAGGAATCTGTCCTAAATAAGTAATTTTAGATTTAGAAAATGGTGTATGCTGCCCAAAACATTCAACAGCAGCATTTCTCACACTAAACCTGGGAGGAATGATTAAGTTGCTCTAACATATTTACGGAAATACTGCACATGTGACAACGTTGTTGACAGAGAATCAGAAATAACACCAGAGTCTATCTATTACTGTATTTAGGAAATGTGGCATCACATGGGAACACGTGTCTGGGTTTTAAAATGAAAGTTATGTGGGGGAAGGGCGGTCATTTTCCAAAGCAATTAAAATCGAGGCATCAGAAGAGACCTGTTTTACTGCCATCTGGGAAAAACACGAAACTAGATATTAAAAGAAAACAAACGGGGGGCGCCTGGGTGGCGCAGTCGGTTAAGCGACCGACTTCAGCCAGGTCACGATCTCACGGTCCGTGAGTTCGAGCCCCGCGTCAGGCTCTGGGCTGATGGCTCAGAGCCTGGAGCCTGTTTCCGATTCTGTGTCTCCCTCTCTCTCTGCTCCTCCCCCATTCATGCTCTGTCTCTCTCTGTCCCAAAAATAAATAAAACGTTGAAAAAAAAAATTTAAAAGAAAACAAACGGGTTTTCAATATAAACCCAAGTCAACAGTTGTAAGGGCAGGCACTTTGAAATGCAGATACGTATCTGTGAACAGACTTTTTTTCCTACATGCACAGTTCTAGAGGCATGCTCCTAAGTGACCACAGAGTTACCTGGTATTGATGATCAGAGACTCTTGCCAGTGAGGCTGGGGTTGCTACTAAAATACAACATTCTAAACCCTTGTAATACCATGTTAATTAAGTAAAAGTAAGCTGACTACAAATCTGCAGATACAACACACTGTAAGTGGTATGAAAAATTTACGAACAGAAAATATTCTAGTAGGAACCACAGTCAACTGTCTATAATCACGAGGAAGAGGAGCGGGGAGAAAAACAAAACAAGAATCCTGCCTTTTGGCTTCCTGAGTAGCACGATGGTGGTGGTCAGAACAAGTGCCTTATGAAAGGTGACAAAAAGGGAGCCAGGAAGAAAGCGGTTGGTCCATTTTCTAAGTACGATGCATACGATGTGAAAGCACCAGCTACTGTCAATATAAGAAATACTGGAAAAACACTCGTCAGGAGAAATCAAGGAAACAAAGTCACATCTGATGGCCTCAAGGGTTGTATTTCTGAAGTGAGCCTTGTTGATTTGCAGGAACGATAAAGCTGCATTTAGAAAGTCAAGCTGATTAGTGAGGATGTTCAGGGCAAAAACTGCCTAATTTCCATGACATGGATCTTAGCTGTAAGAAAATGTGCTCCATGGTCAAAACACAGCAGACCAGAACTGAAGCTCATGGTGATGTCATGATTACTGATGGTTATTTGCTTCGTCTATTTTGTGTTGGTTTTACTAAAAAACGCAACAACCAGATGCAGAAGACTACTTATGGTCGACACCAACAGGTCTGACAAAATTGGAAAAAGGTGATAGAAATCACGACCCAAGAGGTACAGATAAATGACTTGAAAGAAGTGGTCAATAAACTGATTCTAAACAAGGGTGCCTGGGGGGGCTCAGTCAGTTAAGCATCTGACTTTGGCTCAGGTTATGATCTCACAGTTCATGAGTTCAAGCCCTGCGTTGTTGGGCTTTGTGCTGACAGCTGGGAGCCTGGAGTCTACTTCCGATTGTGTGTGTGTCTGTGTGTCCGTGTGTGT